GTGCCCCCCCCCCCCCCCCGCCACTCGTCAACACAAGTATGGTTCCCAGTGTGCGGAAGTCCTGATTCCCTCCCCCCTCCTTCTCCGTCCTCCCCCTCCCCCGCCCACTTCTCTGCCTGGAGCAGGCTGTTTGCAAATAGCCAGCCCTGCGTGCCATTCCCAAAGGACCTTCCAGCCCATCCTCCCAGTGTCTGCAACTGGGGGAAATTAAGTGTGAAGATTAATGGCAACTGCCCTCACATCCTACCCACCGCCTCCCTGCCCTTTTCTAAACACCATATCCTGTACCAGCAGGCTGAAATAACAGGCCAGGAAACAACTCTTCGCTGTTTGCAAATAGCCAGCCCTGCGTGCCATTCCCAAAGGACCTTCCAGCCCATCCTCCCAGTGTCTGCAACTGGGGGAAATTAAGTGTGAAGATTAATGGCAACTGCCCTCACATCCTACCCACCGCCTCCCTGCCCTTTTCTAAACACCATATCCTGTACCAGCAGGCTGAAATAACAGGCCAGGAAACAACTCTTCAAAAAGCTCTTCCAATCCCCTGAGAAAAGTGAAAACAATCTGGAGTCAGGGATTAGGCCGGGGGTTGCACCTAACCTGCACATGCATTCCTGTCCCTGTCCCTGCTGCCTGTGATCACATTTTTGCTGACTTTAGAATTTGATTCTCATTTTGTGTTCATTTTTTCTTGTATTTTAATTTTCCAGGGCACTTTCTCTCTCATCATTGAAGCTTTGCATACAGATTCTCCCGATGACCTCAACACAGGTAAATACCTTCCTGCAAATTCTTTTCCAGGATTAAATCCAAACCTACTACTTCTCAGGCTCAGGTTCCTTTCTTTCTCAAGTCATGTAGCCGCTCCTTGCCCTCTCTCACTCTCCTGCTTTCAAAAGGGTGTTCTCAGAAACGGAGCCCAGCAGGCACATGGCTTTCGCATTTCTGAATTTACAATATTCCCCTCCTGTGAACTCCTCCAGGTAATCTATTGTGTTTATTCCCACTGCACTCCCATCACTCACAGCTAATTGAATTTTTTCCTTTCATCTCTTCACAGAGAACCCAGAACGCCTTATCAGTCGGCTGGCCACGCAACGCCATTTGACAGTGGGGGAGGAGTGGTCCCAGGACCTGCACAGCAATGACCGCACTGACCTCAAGTATTCCTACCGCTTTGTGTGTGATGAACACTACTATGGAGAGGGCTGCTCTGTTTTCTGCCGTCCCAGGGATGATGCCTTTGGCCACTTCACTTGCGGAGAGCGTGGTGAGAAGGTCTGCAACCCAGGCTGGAAGGGCCAGTACTGCACGGAACGTGAGTGTCCACTAAGAAACACAATTGAATCTCTCCTTGCTACAGTCACATGTATCCCAATTCCCACTGAAGTCAATGGAAGATATTCCATTGACTTCACCGTGCATTGGTTCAGGTCTCAGATGAAAATAAAAACCAAGATAGAAAGAGTATATGAGGGCGTGGTGCTGTATAAAAGGTTTTATTGGCATGGACTGTGGGATGACCTCATTCCTCAGAAGTACCAAAACAATAAGTGAGTTATCTGAAATGATTCCCCACTTACACCAGTGACATCACTATGCCATTACATATTATGTTTATACCAAAAATTGTATAGAAAAATTAATTATAGAAATGTTTCAGAAAGTTTAAAAGAAAACATATCAGGGCTATTTATGGCATCTTTCTATCACTAAGTCAGAGTATCTTCACACCATGTGGTACAAGCCTTAGAGGAATTATAGCTCATAGAACTTCTACAGCTCCAAAGTAGCTTATCCATTAGTCATAAAGTCACGACTGTAATGTTTGATATCTCACAATTTTCCGAAACAAGTGCTGTTACCTATTGGAAAAGAGGAGTCCAAGATCCTCTCTAGTGATATAAAGAACATTTATTCCTAATCCTGGAAGATCATGAGATACTGGGTCATAAATGTGACACAAGTCAAGGACTGAATATTACCCTCCCTATACTCCAGATCAGTGTAATTCAGAGGAGAAACACATTTATGGGAAATAGGAAACATTATGGAGGCAGGTTGTGTTTTTGTTTTTTATTAAACAAAAGCGGTGCTTGACTCTCCTGTCAGAAGATGTAGCCCTGGCAGAGAAAGAACAGTGGGCAGATTGCAGCTGATGTGGTCAAAGAAGTCAGATAAATTGAAGATAAATATAAAGCACCCCCCCCCACTCTGCTATACGCTAGTATATGGTAATATTCTAATTTGTGTGTATCCTATAATAATATATGGACAGATAACTGAATTCCCCCTCCAAACCTCACAAACCATGATGCTTAAGAGGAAGAAAACAATGTAGATGTGATAGTGTGCAAGGCAGCCTATCTGTTTGCCTTGTAAAAAATAAAAAGAGCTAAATTGTGAGTTCAGATGGCCTGTTATTAAACAGGCCCAGTTTATTCTCATTGTTAGGGAATAATATGGTGATCACAGTCCTACATGGCACAATTTTGAAAAGTAAATAGAGGGCTTGAATTTCCCCTTTAAATGGTTGCAGTGCCCCATGGATTAAAGGTTTTTACTGGAATTCTTAGGGGGGTGGAGGAAGAGGAAATTTTTCTTTGAACAGTTTTGGGGTTTCAGTACCTTTTGATATTTGTATATTGCTGCTTTTTCTGTTACCAAGCAGACTATTTCTCCTCTCCTCTTAGTACAGTCTACTTTGTGTCTTATGAAAAATCAGCTAAAATATGTGAAATAATGTTTATTAGGCAGTACAGTTTGTGTGCCTGTGCAAAAAGAATGTTTTTCTGGTTAGCAAGTGAGGTTTCCAGGCTCCCTGTTTCTTTCTTTCTTTCTTTCTTTCTTTCTTTCTTTCTTTCTTTCTTTCTTTCTTTCTTTCTTTCTTCATGTCATTGTCTCTGGCAAGCTTTGTTGAATTAAAACTTTGCAGTGCCTGCTTAATGAGTTCCATAACCAGGCGAAATAATGAGCAGAAGTCTCTTTTCCCCCCCACCCTCCCTCCTTCTGGCCCACTTACCTCTTTACTATGTTTGTGCCCACCCGCCCCCTTTTCTTGCAAGGGGGAGGGAGAACTTTAGACTTATTGATTTGAATAAGAAAAAAGTTTGTGCAGAGAAATCACGCGCGTGCCATAGATTAGATCTGGGCAGGGATAGGCTGCTGGGGAAGCATATCTTAGCTCCGATTGGTTGCAAGGGGTTGGGGGTATTGTTGCAGTGGGGCAGCTGCTGAGAGAGAATAGACAATAGAGCAGCTGTCCTGCACTGGCACCCTGCACACCAGCTGTCCACTCTTATCTACACACACACTTTCTGGGGATATTAAGAGGTGGAGCTGTGTGCATAGAATTGGAAAAAAGGACTTCTGACCCTCACTGGGAAGGAAAGAGGGGTGGGGGCTGTAGGGAAGGGAGCAATTGTGAGCCCTCTTTTGTCTGTGTGCAACTGTATTAAGAAGAATGCTCATCCCTAGTGATCAGCAAAGTACCCAGTTACTAAGGAAGATCAATACTCCACCAGCCTTCAGAGATTAACTCAGCTGCTATTAACTGACTGAACTAGTGAAAGAGGGTTTGTCCCAACCCAGAAGACACTTCAAAACTGTATTTTCAGAAGGGATGTATTTGACCCCGCAGCTTATATATCCATATGTTTTATTTATATGCAGCAATTTGCTTGCCTGGATGTGATGAACAACATGGCTTTTGTGACAAGCCTGGAGAATGCAAGTAAGTTTTCAGAGGTTTTTCCTTTTTTAAAAGATGCTGTTGGTCCGTAATGTCAAATTGATGCTCTAGACTTAGATAAGACATCTGTCATCTGAAGGTTAGTTTCTTCAAAGGAGATAGTAACCTGAGAAATCCAGATAATACCAGATCTAGAAGTATTAATCTAAAAGTCAAACATCAGTGTCATTTATATTAACATAATGGGTTTACAGTAGTATATGCAAGGTTAGCTGTTTGTTATGATAGTAAACAAAATAAGTACCTAGAATAATAGCTCTGTTTAAGGCAATGAGAGAAGTAGCTGGGGCTGATGAAAGCTGATGCTACAGCTAGGCTCAGTGACTTTCCCACATGAGGGATCACTAAAGGCTTTTTAGGAAACTTGATTCCTGGTTTTTGCTTCAGTGTGTTTGCAGAGTTTGAGATAGGATTTCTAACTGGTGGAAGTACAAATCTGACAACCCTTTGTCTGTTTTGCAGATGTAGGGTTGGGTGGCAAGGGCGTTATTGTGACGAGTGCATCCGATACCCAGGCTGTCTTCATGGTACCTGTCAACAACCTTGGCAATGCAACTGTCAGGAAGGCTGGGGTGGCCTTTTCTGTAACCAAGGTAAGTTCCTGATCATTGCATATCATAACCTTTTAGAAAATAACACCATTTTCTAGAGCAGCGGTTTTCAAACCTTTTTTTTCTCATGACCCTGTTGAAGAAAATTGTTGATTCTGTGACCCAATGTAATTTGACTAGAGTGTGTGCTCTAAGGCAGGGCGGAGGATGAGAGCTTTGGGATGTAGGAGGAAACTCAGAGCTGTGCCTCAGAAGCAGGCAGCAGCAGATTCACAGCCAATGGGAGGGAGGAGTTAGTGTTCAGGGCAGGGGCAGTGCATGAAGTCCTGTGCACTCTCTTCGCCCATCCATGTAGGATCCAGGCCTGCTGCTGGCTACTTCTGGGGTGCAGTGCAGTCTGCAGGGCCCGGACAGGCTTGTGTAGCCTGTCTTAGCACCCTCATTGGTCACCTGATCACTCTGGAGTAATGAGACCCACTCCTGACTTTCCATGACCCAGTATTGCGTTGTGACTTGTAGTTTGAAAATCACTGGCTCTAGAGTGCCTCCTCATTCAAGATGTGTAACAGTTGCAAACTATCACATATCTTTATGGATCTGTCTTATCTTTAAAATCTTTTCCAGATCTTAATTATTGTACTCATCATAAGCCTTGCAAAAATGGTGCCACTTGCACCAATACTGGCCAGGGAAGCTACACTTGTTCTTGCCGTCCTGGGTACACGGGATCCAACTGTGAGATTGAAATCAATGAATGTGATGCTAACCCCTGCAAGAATGGTGGAAGCTGCACCGTAAGTTAAAGGAGTTAATGATATTTTAAAAATCCGAATAACTAAAGACACTTTCACAATAATTTTTATTTTTATTTACGTTGAATCATTTTTTTCCCCTGTAGGATCTTGAAAACAGCTATTCCTGTAACTGCCCACCTGGCTTCTATGGTAAAAACTGTGAGCTGAGTGCTATGACTTGCGCTGATGGCCCATGCTTCAATGGAGGGCGGTGTACAGACAACCCTGATGGTGGATACAGCTGTCGTTGCCCGTTGGGTTACTCCGGGTTTAACTGTGAAAAGAAAATTGATTATTGCAGCTCCAGTCCTTGTGCTAATGGTAAGGCAAACTACCTTTGCCTCTTAAAGGGACACTGTCATGTAACTGAGGCTGCCAATGTAGGGTTTGTATAAAAATAAAATTATAGGTTAATCTATCATTTTTAAGCGGAACTTCTTGCCATGTTGTGCCATCAGTTCTTACCTATAACTCCCCCATTGACTCAACTGAGGAGTTTTGCTTAAAAGTTGATGGTGTGATATGGCACCATAGTATAAGTAGTATTGTCTTTCAATGTGATCTTGAGTGTGACATTTGGCCTCCTTGTACCTCAAGTTCCATATTTGTAAAATGGGAATACCAATACTTTAAAAATGCCTTTGTAAAATTGCTTTGAGCTCTATGGATGAAATGGATCATCAACATGCTAAATAATTTTATTGTTTAGCAGTAGTAAAACTGTTTTCATTTTTTAAAAAGGGGCTTTAAAAAAAAATTCTCCATATTGGTTGCAATCCAAACTCTGCAACATTGTGTCAATGCAGGTAAACCAAGATATGAAATTGACTTAGTCTAGTTCCACTGATGTAGCTGAGTAAAAAGCAAAAACGTGAACAGAGTAAGTGGTGAAAAGCTTACCTTTTAAATAAGGTTTTGAAAATTAACTAAAGTTTTATTACTGGAAACAGAAGGAAAAATTTAAGAGTGAGCTAGGATTTTCAGAAATGGGTCTTAATTCCATGTTTGTTTTTAGACATCCATTTTTTAAGTCTTGGCCTCAATTTTCATCATTTTAAGAAAAAACAACAAGGAGACTACATGCATCTGACAAAATGGTTTTTACTCATGAAAACTTGTGCCTAAATAAATCTGTTAGTCTTTATGATGCCACAGTACTACTCCTTGTTTTTACAGAAACAAAAGCCTATCGCTTTGAGACTTGTCATCATATTAAGTACACAGTGAAGCAGAAGAGTTGTTGCTTGACATTATATAACAACTTATCTATTATTTGTCATTTTTAATATATTGCAGGAGCCCAGTGTGTTGATCTTGGAAATTCCTACATATGCCAATGCCAGGCTGGTTTTACTGGAAGACACTGTGATGATAATGTGGATGACTGTGCCTCCTTCCCTTGTCTGAATGGTGGAACCTGCCAAGATGGAATTAATGACTATTCTTGCACCTGTCCCCCAGGATACAATGGAAAGAACTGTAGTGCTCCCGTCAACAAATGTGAACACAACCCTTGTCACAATGGGGCTACTTGCCATGAAAGAAACAACCGTTATGTGTGTGAGTGTGCTCGGGGATATGGTGGACTCAACTGCCAGTTTTTGCTCCCTGAACAGCCTCAGGGTCCTGTAATTGTTGATTTTACTGAGAAGTACACTGAGGGTCAGAATGCACAGTTTCCTTGGATTGCAGTTTGTGCTGGGATTATTCTGGTCCTGATGTTATTGCTGGGGTGCGCTGCTATTGTTGTCTGTGTCAGACTCAAAATGCAAAAGAGGCACCATCAGCCTGATGCATGCAGGAGTGAAACAGAGACCATGAACAACTTGGCCAACTGCCAACGTGAAAAGGACATTTCAATAAGTGTCATTGGTGCCACCCAGATTAAAAACACAAATAAGAAAGTAGACTTTCACAGTGATAACTCTGATAAAAGTGGCTACAAAGTTAGATACCCATCAGTGGATTACAATTTGGTGCATGAACTCAAGAATGAGGACTCTGTTAAAGAAGAACACAGCAAATGCGAAGCCAAGTGTGAAACATATGATTCAGAGGCAGAAGAGAAAAGTGCAGTACCACTAAAGAGGTATGGTTCTGATGATAGCTCTGAGAGAACAGTTTTACTGCAAAGGGTGTATATGTTTTCTTATTGGTACTAGAAGCAGCCATCTGATTTTTTTTTTTTGGTTTTGTCTTCAATAGTGATACTTCTGAAAGAAAACGACCAGAATCAGTATATTCCACTTCAAAGGACACGAAGTACCAGTCGGTGTATGTCATATCAGAAGAGAAAGATGAGTGCATCATAGCAACTGAGGTTAGTACAGTGCGTAATGGTTGCAAAAAAAAAAAAAAAAAAAAAAAAGGGAACCAGATCCTGAAGTAGTGTAGATCAGTGCAGCTCTGTTGTCTTTAATGGTTTCTATATATATTTAAATTTACACTTGGTGAGATCTGTCCTGATGTGTTTATTTTCTTGTGAAGGCTGTAAAACCTATAGTTTATTTTAGGATAAATCCCAATCATGCAAATGATTTGCTTCCATGGGAGTTCCACACACCGAGAGCTTGCAGAACTGGGGCACAGCTGCGTTATTTTAATTTTTTAGTTACCTCTTATTTGTGGAGTCCCTTCTGCCCTACTAGCACATGGATAGACTCCTAGATCTGTCCACCTTTTAATCACTGCGATCCTTTATATGTTTTATTAAACTTTGCTTCTCTCTGTTCTTGGCTTCTGTCAACTCTCTACAGGTGTAAAATGGAAGTGATATGACCAAGTTGTTGTTCAAAACAATTTCAAAGGAGATATGCCCCAATGAATGCTGCTGAAAGAGGAAAGGGAGATAGATTCCTTCACTGACTGCTGCTGAGAAACTAAATTCAGGCTGAGCTGGTTCTCTACTGAAGTTAGCAAAGTGACTGCAAAAAAACAAGATGGACACTAGGCAAGGATCTGTGTTCAAGAATAACTGTTGCACTGCCTTTATGAATTTTATCATTGCACTATGGTCAGTTGCTTTTCTATATATATTTAAATGAATGGACTTAATTACTACATAAGAAGCATGCACTGCGTGAAGTGTATATTTTGGATTCTTATGAGCCAGTCTTTTCTTGAATTAGAGACACAAACACTGCCTTTAATGTCTTTTTTTATACTAAAATGTGTTTTTACTAGGTGAAAAAAGTGTGTTATTTTTTTGAATCTGTAAAAATATTTTCATGATAATTGTAAAGCTTGAGTATTTTGTGATGTTCATTTTTTATAATTTAAATTTTTTGGTAAATATGTACAAAGGCACTTCGGGTCTATGTGACTATATTTTTTGTATATAAATGTATTTATGGAATATTGTGCAAATGTTATTTGAGTTTTTTTACTGTTTTGTTAATGAAGAAATTCATTTTTAAAATATTTTTCCAAAATAAATATTATTAATGATAACCAAAAAGCTATCTTTACTCTACGAAACAAATATGATCCAAACTTGCCATCCATTGCCAACTGGAGATTTGACATACTTTAGGTTATTAGGCAGAGCAGGGATAGGATTCAAAGTTGTAAGAAACGATGGAAAAGAACTTCTCTGATATAAATCCCTCCTTACACTTTTCATTCCCATTGATTTTCTCAATGATTGACCTTTGGAGTTGACACATGTGCTTGTGCTATCCCAAAATTAAACTTCTGTGGAAAGTCGAAGTAATAATTTGTACAGTCATTTTGTAATACATATAAACAAATACCGTGTAATTTTCTTAGAAGGATCAGTTCAGGCATTCTCCTGTTTGATCCATGGAACCTTTAAGGACTCAGGTTGTCATTTCTTACACTTCAAAATTCTCCTTGAAGTCATTGGGAATTTTGGGTGTCCCAAGCATGCCAGAATGGGCATCTTTGGCCAAATCCTTCATATGTATCCATAAAAAGTGAGCTTTTCAAATTAAACCTGAATATAAACAAAATTTCCATCTTAGAAGAGAGAGTTCTATTAGGTTTTTGAGGCTAAATCAATTGATGGTATAAGTGCTTTGAACTCCAGTGACTTTAACGTATTTCTACCTATAAAATCTATTACTGTATGAAAATATTTGCAGTACACTTATCATTATGATTTATGAGCACAGTGGAGTCAAACCCCCCTTGTGCCAGTGGTGAATTTGGCCTTTAATGCCAACACAGCTTAATTAATTACAGTTTGGACTAATTGACCTGTCTTTAAGCAGCAATGCATTTTGAAACATCTAAGAAATCATTTTCATTCTGATCAGAATGTGGCTGATCATTACTGATCTGATTCAAGTCCACTGAAGACAATGGAGATACTCCAATTGTCTTCAGTGGGATCTGATCAGGCCCTATTTGCAAAGCAGAACATGTCCAGAAAAACATATAGTTGCAAATGGTAACCTGAAACACTAAATTATGAAGCCTCCTCCCCAAATCTGTTATTAAATGAGATACTTTGACTTAAGTGAATTGATTCTACCCTATAATCCATCTCATTGGAGGAGATGAGTAATACCACAACAGAAAAGAGTCCAGCTTCCACATAAGCAATAACATACATGTAACTGTTAAGATTCACCTGTTATGAACATGCCCCACCACTGGCTGACTGTATGGCTCGAGGCATGTAGTCTCATGGCTCAGACATTGAACTGGTAATTAGAAGACCTGGGGATCTAGTCATAGGTATGTCACTGTCCTGCTGTAAGCTTTGGCCAGTCTCTTCAACTCTCTGTTTCCGTAACCTGGTTGGTGTGGGAACTGTCTCTTTGTGGGCGTGTACTGCACTAAACACATGGAGGGGCAGGGGTTTGGAGCCTCTATGTACTACCTTAATGCCAATAGGAATAATGACTCTTCACAAAATTAAGTGTTATCATTTCTTACCATCATTGCCGATGGAGTGATTAACCATATGTTCTTAAAGATAAAAGGAGACTAACAAGAATTATTTTAATATGGCGTTATGTGCTGAATTGATTATAAACAAAGCTCCTTTTCCAGAAAGTGAGAGAAACTGCCTTTCCACTAATGGCTCAAAGGGCCCACTTCTGTTTACAAAGTGAGAGGCACAGGTTCAAGGGCACTGTGTAGCTGGTAGTTCAGGGCCTAATTCAGAGCCAATTGTAACAGATAGAAATTCATTTTAATATGGCATTGGACCAGGACCCTCCTTAATCAGCTTATCAGCTGATTTGCCTCTCTCTGCAAAGCGCCTATGGACCAAAACAACAAAAAGCTGCTCCCACCAGGTAAAAATGCTAAAGGAGGGATTAGTGGAAGCAAGTTTAACTGCCCTCAGTCAGTGTTAATTTCCCATGGGCAATCAGTTAGTGCAGGAAGGTAGGTTTTACTTTATGTGATTCTAGATGCAATTTCTCCGTGAAACATGGTGATATTCAGGGACCTCACCACCTACATATTTACCAGGGTCAATGTTAATAAGTATTGTTCAAAAGTGAAGGGCACTGACACAGTATGGAACAACTAGCAGAGACTGCATCACCTTGTTAGTGTCAGGGATTTTGTGAACAGTGAGCCTTAGCAGCAATAGACAATATATTAAATCTAGGACACACTCTTCCTCCATGTTCAAGTTTTAATTGTGAAAAAATTGATTTCAAAGTTGTTTTAAAGGGGCATTATGTTTATGTTGTACACAAGGAAGGAGGATGGTCTGGGCGTCAGGAAACTGGGGCTCTATTCCTGGCTCTACCACAGACTTCATGTGTAGAGGAAGGATGGTCATGTGGTTAAGGCACGATAGTGGGATTCAGAAGAACTGCATTCTATTTCCAGCTCTCCCCGCAGACTTCCTGAGGGACCTTGGACCTGTATCACTTAATCTCAATCTGCCTCAGTGAAACGGAGGATAATAATACCCAATCTCACAGTGATGTTGAGGATAGTTGCATTAATGTGTGTGAGGCACTCAGATGCAATGGTGTGGGGGAACATAAAAAAAAATCCCTGTATTTCCATTTGCCCATCTGCTAGATGACAACCTGCCCTTTATAAAACACTTTATGCTTCTTGGATGGAATAACAGCTTCTTGGATGGAATAACACTCCATGACAAAATAGAAACATACATCATTCTGCAGAGGATACACATAGAATATACTGTCAAATAAGTGCACAGGCAATGTGTTTATAGTAGACTCCTCTCCAAGTATACAGTTGTTCTATTTATAATGCATCCACAGGCAGATACACAGACAGTGCTTGGTTTGGGACAAAAGGTGAAAGAAAACTGAAAAGATTACAAAAGTACACAAGCACGAATTCTAAACTGAAAGATACTGGTAATCTCACTGACTGTCTGCATTTGCAAATCTTTCATTGGCACTCTGCCATTACCCAGGACAATTTAAACACAACTTAATGTAGACAAGGCATATAGTATTTAACATTGTGCCAGCTGGGAGGAGCTGTGCACATGAAGATGCAGTTCACACAGTTTTTTTTTACCAGAATAAGTGTTGGTTAGAAATGTGAGCTTTTACCGCTATAGTTATGCTGGTACAATCTATGTCTTCACTCGCGGCTTCTTGCGTGAGTAATATGCAAATGAGGCTAAGTGTGGAATATCGCTGAGCCTCATTTGCATACCTAATGAGCCACCATTTTTTTCAGAAGAGGCTCTTGTGCAAGAAGGAGTGTCTACACTGCCCCTCCTTGCGCAAGAAAAGCCCTCTTGCGCAATGCCGTTACACCTATTACTTGAGAGGAAGAACGGCATTGCGCAAGAGGGTTTTTCTTGTGCAAGAAGGGGCAGTGTAGATGTTTCTTCTTGTGCAAGAGCCTCTTCTGAAAAAAATGGTGGCTCATTAGGTATGCAAATGAGGCTCAGCGATATTCCACACTTAGCCTCATTTGCATATTACTCACGCAAGAAGCCGCGAGTGAAGACATAGCCTTACTGTGGAGGCAGTTCTATTGCCACAAACATGCCTTCTCTCTCTCTCTCTCTCTCTCACACACACACACACACACAAATTGCCTTTTTTGAGCCTTTGGGGGGAAACTGACTACTGTCATTGTGTGTGAGCATTTCAGGTTCCAAGTTCAATCTGAAAGGCTCCTGGAAAAACAAGGGTCTCCTCACTGGCTGCTTGCAAGGTGACTTCCTTTATCCTTTCCTAACCTCTTTCCTAACCCTCTTTGCTAGGTGCAGCCTCAGATCAACATGCAAAGCTTGTGGGGAATGGTGATCATATTGGCTGAGAGCAGGCATATTGAAAGTAATGAGAGACAGTGGCCATTTTAAATACAAGAATAGGGAGGAATAGGGTGGTCATCATGAAACCTCCCCTTCCTCGCACCGATCTTGTGAAACTCATGGTAAAAATCACAAAAGCTGGCAATATTGAATTGTCCAGGCTTTACCCATATTACCATGCTTTGTGACCACCAGTAATACGAACTTTCTAGCCACTTTCCTCAAATCCAACTGGCATGGATCACCCTCTAGCACAGCTTGCCATTTGAGCCACAGCAGAGTTGGCCTTGGTTCTGATTCTCTCCTACTTGCACCTTCTGCAATCATTTACACCTAGAATTGGTTGCTATTTCCAACTTCAAAATTTTTTAATGAAAAAAGGGCACATTTTTTTTACACAAATTTCATGAAAAATGTGTTCCTTGTTTTGACCAGCTCTATTTATACTTGTTCCAAATGGGTGCAACAGACTTGTAAAGTTTTGCATTCACTTGCACTGGTATAAATCACTACAAAGGCACTAGAGAATCAGACCCCTTGAATGATAGGACCATGCTTTATTATTAAGAATCCTTGCAGGTTTTATTCAGCAACCATGAAAATCAAAGGGCTTTATTCTCATTTACATTAAGACTCTTGCCAGAGCTGTGTAGAGGGACATTAGTCAAAATGAGAATTAGGCCTTAAAGGTATTTATCACAAGGTAACCTGTCTCTTACTACAACATTTTTTGTGTGACTCCTTTTAAGAGATTTCTCCTATAAACATCTGTTTACAAAGGTCACCTGACTGACAGATGTTATCCCCTCATGCTTTTTGTTGTAGACTGCTTTTACCTTAATGTATTTTAAATCAAAGTGATTGTGGAATTCTTCATTGTCCAGTAATTGTGATGATTTGGCACAGCTGCTGGTCTGATTCTGAGCTTCTGTGAAAAAAGTGGGTATTTGATGTTTGTCAGTGAAAATTAGCTGCTCTGTTTAGAGCAGCAAGCAATAGGGAAACATTTCATAGAATCCTTATGTTATGCTGGATCTTAGTTTCCCTTCCCTCTGCAAGCATAAGGAAAGTAAAAGCAATGGAACCTGGAATGTATCATGTTGTGCAAAGATCTGTCTAATTCTCTTCAGGAAGTGTTATCTAGGCAA